AGTGATTTTGCTGTAGATTTCGTATCACTTCCTTCAGAATTTTCAGGTGTAACTTTTTATGCACCTTGCCTACATCTGAAGGTGTATTTTTCAAGGAACTTTAAGCATTCCCAATAATTTAGGCACTAATAGAATTTATACAGTCAATAAAGGTTCTCTGTACAGCAATATTCCAGTCTCAAAAAGACAAATGACAAAATATCATCACTGTCTTGGCAACTCTTACTTTGAAGGCTCTAGTCATCAAGCATGTGTAATAACACTTGTGATCTTGAAACCATCACTGAAGTCCCCTCACATTAATCTTCTGTCAAGTAGTCCAAGCTTGTTTCATACTTGGTTTCATTTTCTAAATTTTTTCAAATCAGAGAAACTGAAATCTGTCCTTATTAAACATCTTGATATTCTCTGTGGCTCACTATAAGACATGGTTTACATCATCGAGATTTATGTCATCAATGGATGCCACTCATACAAATTCTAGTATTGCCTGCGAAGGCCAATACTGTTGGATATAAGAATGAGAAAAAATTGGGGCGAGTACTACTGTGCTTTCATGAGCAAAGCTTTTCACTGTGGCTATTACTCTTTGGGTTCTACAGTGGACCCTCGACCAATGATATTAATCCGTTCCTGAGAGCTCATTGTTAATCGAAATTATCGTTAGTCGAGTTAATTTTCCCCATAAGAAATAATGGAAATCAAATTAATCCGTGCAAGACACCCTAAAGCATTGAAAAAAAAATTTTTACCACATGAAATATTAATTTTAATACACACAAACTGAAGAAGACATGTACAATTACATGACACTTACCTTTATTGAAGATCTGGTGATGATTGATGGGGTGGGAGGAGGGGAGACTGTGGATGGTGTTAGTGTTTAGAAGGGAAATCCTCTTCCATTAGGACTTGAGGTGTCAAGTCCTTTTCCAGGGTTACTTCCTTTCTTCTTTTAATGCCACTAGGACCAGCTTGAGAGTCACTAGACCTCTGTCGCACAACATATCTGTCCATAGAGGCCTGTACCTCCCGTTCCTTTGTGACATTCCTAAAGTGTTTCACAACATTGTCAGTGTCACAATTAAACACTTGTTCAGGTTTCAATTCTTCACTGTCTATGTACTCCTTGAATTCCTTCACATATTTTTCAGCTGCTTTTTGGTCCAAACTGGCAGCCTCACCATGCCTTATCACACTATGTATGCCACTACGATTCTTAAATCTCTCAAACCAACCTTTGCTGGCCTTAAATTCACTCATATCACCACTAGTTGCAGGCATTTTTTCTAATTAAATCCTCATGCAACTTCCTAGCCTTTTCACATATGATCGCTAGAGAGATGCTATCTCCTCCTATCTGTTTTTCGTTTATCCACACCAATAACAGTCTCTCAACATCTTCTATCACTTGTGATCTCAGTTTCGAAAACATAGTTGCACCTTTGGCAAGAACAGCTTCCTTGCCGTTTTCTTGGCCACAATAGTAGTGATGGTTGATTGGGGTTTTGTGTACAACCTGGCCAGCTCGGAGAGACACACTCCACTTTCATACTTAGCAATGATCTCCTCCTTCATATCCATAGTAATTCTCACCCTTTTTGCTGTAGGGTTGGCACTAGAAGCTTTCTTGGAGCCCATGGTGACTTATTTTGCAGGTGCAATCACTAAAAACGCTGTGATAATGTGAAATGTTCCGATTGTATGTTTGGATGGGACCGCGGTGGCTGGCTGGCTTGTAAGCACTGTCCACAAGTGGACGCGTCTCAGATGGAACGAATTGTGTTGGTCGAGTTTTTTAGCGCTAGTCGAGGCAAAATTTTTGCATTAAAATGTATCGCTAGTCGGATTTAACGTTAGACGATGCCATCGTTGGTCAAGGGTCCACTGTATTTGTAAGATCCCTTCAAGGTAGGTTCCTTGATGCCAAAGAGGGGCTCTTAATCCAAGGAACTGAACCTCCCCTTTCCCCTGGTAATAAGACTCCTCTGAGTTTTGTACACCCCCATGAAATGAACAACAATAATTATTTGTTAGAAAGTTAAATATTCATTGTCCCACTTTTCCAGTTACTCCTTTTGCACACGTCTTGTGCTATTCATCACAATCACGCTTATTTAACACAATGTGTACATTACATTTGTATTTTGCTTGTTTGCAGTGCATCCAAGAACATGCAGTAATGGACCAACAAATGAGAGAGGCAGTAATGACCTGCTCTAAATGTATCTTGTCCTGAGTTATGCATTTGTTATAAATTAGTTTAGTAATCTGGCTTCTCAAAACTCAAGGATTGTGATGTTGATGAATACTGAGTTTCTTACAAACGTTACCATTATTCACCTAGTGGTAAATACAGTCTCCATATAAATATGTTTACTGCAAAAACATCTGGTCATCTGAACTTTTACTTTTATTACATTTTACATCTTTTCTGTTTGGTACATAATGGCAGAAAACTTTTATTTGTCTCAGTTCAGATTTTTTTTCTTTTTGTGTATGCTAAGTACAGTTCCTTTTGTTAGTTAACTATTGTGGGTTGTAGCATAGGTAGGTTGACAGTATGTCTTAGATAAGGTTGGGCTTTGAAATGAGCTGGGGTTGGATGACAGTTGTAAGCCTGTACATTCAGCAGCATAAAAAAAAAAAAATAATAAAGTGGTTGCTGATCAGATCATGATTACCACAGTATTGTGCCACATACATCCAATATATTCCCCTCTAATGAATAATACAATTCTGGAATTTATTATAACTCGAGTCTTCAGAACTGTGAACCTACTTCCACCACAGGCACCCATGCCATAATTGGAGATGCATTCCCAAACAATAATTTGTATATAATTTCATTCCTTAATGAAATTAAAAGCAATGAACAGAACTCAGACAAGTCCTTCCCTCCTATACCCTAACTTCCCTCTCTCCTCCCAAACTTTCCTTTCATTACCAAACCATTTCTCCCATTCCCAATCCTTTCTCTCTCCCTCATTCCCAAACTTTCCTCTCTCAGAGTCCCTCCATCTCACTTTCTCACTCAATTCAACATATGACACAACATGCTTTACACATTTCCACTCCTTCACTGCTGTAGTTGAGGCAGTGTGTAGCACAGAGTTGTAGTGAGAGGCAGTGCAGGTATAGGAAACAGCAACAAGACAGTCAAAGAGGGAGAGGCAAAGATATTTGTGCTGATCAGGAAATAATACCTTGTCTCTTGATGGACAACAGTACTGCAGAACTTTGTCTCATAGTGATGGTGCGGACCAATTCATAAAGCCATTTGGTTGTTGCACAGTCCACAAAAACATAATTTTCCTGTTAGCATAGCTTGCCTTCCTCTTTAATATTCTCTCCCTCCCTCTTTACATAAGCTTTCCATTACCTCACTAGCATGATGAGTTTGTATATATTTTGGTAGAATTACCAACAATATGTAAAGTAAAAGGACACAAGTGCAACTAATGTGGCAATTTATTGTGGCAACATTTCGCTCTCCAGGAGCTTTGTCAAGCCATAATGGCTTGACAAAGCTCCTGGAGGTACTACAGTCCTGCCAAGTGAGTGTAAAATGGAAACCTATAATTGTTTTACATGATGGTAGGATTGCTGGTGTCTTTTTTCTGTCTCTTAAACATGCAAGGTTTCAGGTATGTCTTGCTACTTCTACTTACACTTAGGTCACACTACACATACATGTACAAGCATATATATACACACCCCTCTGGGTTTTCTTCTATTTTCTTACTAGTTCTTGTTCTTGTTTATTTCCTCTTACCTCCATGGGGAAGTGGAACAGAATTCTTCCTCCGTAAGCCATGCGTGTCGTAAGAGGCGACTAAAATGACAGGAGTAAGGGGCTAGTAACCCCTTCTCCTGTACATATTACTAAATGTAAAAGGAGAAACTTTCGTTTTTCCTTTTGGGCCACCCTGCTTCAGTGGGATACGGCCAGTGTGTTGAAAGAAAGAAAGAAACATGCAAGATTTCAGGTACGTCTTGCTGCTACTTCTTACACTTATGTCACACTACACATACATGTATACAAGCATATATATACACACACCCCTCTGGGTTTTCTTCTATTTTCTTTCTAGTGCTTGCTCTTGTTTATTTCCTCTTATCTCCATGGAGAAGTGGAACAGAATTCTTCCTCCGTAAGCCATGTGTGTTGTAAGACGAGACTAAGATGCCGGGAGCAAGGGGCTAGTAACGCCTCCTGTACAAATTGCTAAATTTAAAAAGAAAAACTTTCATTTTTCTTTTTAGGCCACCCTGCCTTGGTGGGATATGGCTGGTTTGTTAAAAAAAAAAAAGTTGCATTTGTGTCCTTTTACTTTACATGATGAGTTTATTAGGTAGTGAGTGTGGTGTGGGAAGGTTGTGGTAAAGGTAACAGTGCCAGGACTATAATGGGAAATGTAGGACATCAACCCTTATCATGTACTAGACATGAGTGCCCCCACTACCAACATATTTAAATCTACAGTGCTTGACCAATCTTTACCAAACAAATATGAGCCCATCACACATACATAACATGAACATTCACAAAATATCAATGTGTATGATAAAATATAATGGAGAAAAAATATTTATAATTTGCTCTTAATAAAGTTGTACTGTAATTATTAAATCTGCATTTCTTGATCATTCTCTACCAAACAAATACATGACCTTCACATATGCATAAAATAAACGCAAAATGGGAATGCATTTTATGAAAAGTATAACGGAAAATAATTTACATTTGAATGTTTGCAATGTTTGTATCTACAAACTGGCATTCATAAGACAATAATCAATTTCAAAGTGATGTGATCATAAGTGAGTATGTTTGCAAGCCATGGACTTTCCATATTTGGTACATGTGGTTCATCAGTCACTCAGTAACTGAAGCAACACAACCTGGCTTAACACTAATTTTCTCATTCTGTAACTCACTGCCATGTGCTTTAACAAGCATTTGCAAATGGAGGCATATTTCAATTATGAGCAGAATATCAGCTTTATAAATCTGCATTTATTGAGAAACTGAGTTTAATATACACACTAAGTGCTCAAATCAACAAAGTTTATCTAGTTTAACTCTTTCTATCGCATACATTGCCAAACACCAGCAAACAGATCAAGTGTAATTATGAAAAGAATATCATAGTGGTATTCCTGGAAAAAAGTGAGATTTTAACATGAACACTTGACACCCAAATTAACCCAAATCAACCATGTGCCTTACAAAGCCCTAACATATAAAACAAAGAGGTCAAATATAATACTTCTGACTATAAATATTGCCAAAATAACTGTACTGTTACTGATAAATATGCACCATAACAATACTAGGCAAAGAGCACCATGTGCTCTCATATCTCCACCTTAACACAGAAAGACTACCAGCCTACTCTTGCTGGCTCTATAGGCATTGTGCCTCAAAACTGCAGTTGGGTTGATGCCAAGTCCAAAGCTACAATAGGGTTGATGGCAAAACTTTGAAGTGCTACTGGCAATAAATTAAAAAAAAAATATGGAAAATAAAATAAACCAAGAACACAAACAAATAAAAAAACAAACTCACATATACTTCCTGAGAAACAAAATGGAATATGTTCCACTATATGACACCATTGAGAGACCAATAAAGGACAGAATCAAGCTTACACGAAGCTGACATGCTCAATTTTGCACAAGGGGGCACCAATGATTATGGTTCAAACATCATATATAGATATGATTTCCACTTTTGTTAACAAGTAGCACAGCATTCCAGTGACTGAAGTGTAAATAAACCCTACAAATACTGTATATTGCAAAACATGAAACTGCAACCACCTCTGACCCAGAACAAACAATGTCGATACTGATGTTTCGTGCATTCAATGGGTGTGATGGAAAAGGCACAAAGACATCTTGGGACACATGGAATGTATTTCTAGGTTTTACAAATGCTCTCCTGAAATATATAACCATGATGTGACTTGAAACAGAACTAATGAAGCAAGGCAGAATCTGTTTTAAAGGTCACAAACCCAGCAGACCGGGGCTAACAAAGAAAAAGATGGATCTCTACAGAAGCTAAAATTGACAAGCCTTGGTCACATTCAAGAAAGGTGTTATGAGCTTATACACTGAAGCTGTAAATAGGAATGCAAATCTGTGTAGTGCTACAATGATGCCAAACCCAAGTACACTGTTTTGTCATTTTGAACAGTTATGTAGGACTAATCAAACTTTAATCACATCACAGAAAGAGAAATTCTGAGTTTTGAGGAAAACACTACATATGAAAACACTTAAGCAATTTATTAGGAAATGTTTTGGTCCTGGGGCCTCATTCACTCTTATGATATAAAGGGCACAAGGAACAGTAAAGACAAAGTACATGTGAAAGAGGCGAGATCAGATTACATACAAGTAGCAGTCAGAGCAGGTTTAAGTTGAGGGAAGGCAAGGTCGCCTGATGGCCATGTCATCATGTGGATGGGACGAAGTGTGGTCTACAATCATGTGGGCCAAGATAGTGGAGATGGTGTAGTTTCCTACTATACTTAAATTGTATTAGAAATTGTATTCAGTTATGCTTCCAGAAACTGGAATCTTTGCTGACTGGAGTTTCTAATATGAATACACAAAAAGCAGCAAGTTATACTCTCACTAACTTAGTCCACATGGTTCTTGACAATGTTTTGCTCCACCCCCATTGTGGCCACTGCTTATACCTGACATAGCCTCTCTTCCTCTGCAATTGCTTTGGTGTTATATACTGTATTTCATGTACACTTATATTTCTTAAGAGTGAACAGGTCCCAGGATGCAACTGTCTTAGGTCCTTATAACAGTGTTCTTTTTCTATATTTTCAAGCTTCTTTTTGGGTTAATATTTGCTTTTAATGTTATGTCAACGATCAATGTAAGATCTTTCAAAGAGGACATCTTCATTACAGATAAACTGTTTAACATCCATATTTTCTAGCAAAGCACTGACATCAATATTGTGTATTTCAAAATTATACCTTAAACATATCTATAGTTTTCTATTTCCATGAAATCATTTTAAATTTACCATCTGATTCTGTCTAAACATTATGAATTACTTTATGGAACTCTCTCTTTATACAGTTAGCTTTTATAAACAAATATTGGAGTAAATATTCACTCATTTGAAACTGGGGTTATACACGTTTGGTGGTTCCTTATCATACAATGTTTATGCCAAGCTCTTGCTGCTTTTAACCCAAAGCACATGATTTTTTTTACAAACTCTAGGGTTAACCATCCCACCATGTATTGCTGAACAAGAAAGCAGGTAAGCACCCAAAACCAACTAATAATCTTGTGCAATAAATCTAAATTTGTTTAATTTTAATTCCAACTACGTTAACTAAATGCATTTAGGTTGCAACCAGTCCACTAATTATGATTGTGTTCTTTGTGCAGGGCTTGATGCAAGATCAAATTTGTATGTAGCCTTATTCATGCACTAATAAAAAATTTACACCTCATCTAACCATTCAATCATGAAATGGGGAAAAAAAAATATCTGAGAAAATACATTTTTCAGGAGCACTATGGAATCAAGGCAAATGCACCTCCATACCAAAATATCTATACTCTAAATTACAATAGCTAAGACTAGATGTCTTTTACACATGGAACATCCTCCCTGTTAATGTTCTCTGCAATCATGTAGAAAATGTAAGCTATAAAGCAGCATGTAAACAAATATCATCATAAATGAAAGACACCACAGACAAATTACGAAAATTATTCTGTACATGACAGGGTAGGCCACACAATGGTCCCCCTCATTTAGAAAACTAGCTATACACTGTACAAAAAGCAATTGTCTGGGAAAGCAGCACAGAGTTGCCCTGAAGCATTTAACATGGATAAGAAGTAACAGCAGCAGCAGCAGGACACATGGTTCCTTACACACAACTGGCTACTTTTACCACTGGTTTGTGGGGGCAGCGCACCTAACAGATTTTAACTGCTTATTAATTTCCAGGACGAATGCATCACTTATAACTAACAATGTCTTTTATTAAAATACATTAAATGCATTGATGTGTTTTCATTGTCGTCAGTATCTTTTATCCACAGTTCTTGCATTTTCACATTTTAATTACCACTAGCTTCATTTCAAATAAAGCAAATAACTATATGTCACATATCACTCTTCAATTCACTTATAAAACACCATTAGCTTTCATTCAATTTCACAGACATATTACTCCTTAAATATCATAAGCTTGTATCATATTTACAGTATGTATAAAGACAAGAACTTGGCAGTAGTTCAATATTTCATCTCATGAATGCACCACTTAAATATTATAAATAATGTCTTTTGTTACAACTGAGAATATAAAAAAATATTCAAACTGGAGGGATATCTGTTGCTTGTGGGGTGTCCTCCATACCCTCAGGAGGCACTCTGACAGTACCATTGCCTGTTAAAGTTGCATGTCCATTGGAGGGCACCTGACCATTTGCACAGGTACTGGGAGGTGTACTAACACTGGGTAAGGTTGGAGCTGATGGGGTGGGAGGTGGTGAAGTTATTGGAAGTGGTGAAGGAGGAGCTTTAGGGGCTACTGGTGCTAAGGGAGCAATTGTGGTGACAGGTGGCATGGTAATAATAGGGTCATTGAGTCCAGCCATGTCACTACTACTACCACTGTGGCTACCATCACTTGCAATGTAAGACTCCATTGCCCGGTAAACAAACAAAATATCATCCTGAAAGTGAGAAAAAGAGATGGTTAATAGTTACTCAAAATGAGCGCCCACAATTACGGTAAAGAAATTTAATTAGACTAAGGGAATGGAAAATAACAACAATGTATCTAGTGCTTAGCAATTTTTGTACCTTTAACCCTTTCAGGGTCCGTCCCGTAGATCTACGGCTTTACGGTGAGTGTCCAAACCGTAGATCTACGCCATGAGCTCAGCTCACTCTGATAAACTGTGAGTGGTACATATGGGCCTAGATATGAGAGAATACATCTATGTGGTATGTGTGCACCACATAAAACAGATCCTGCAGCACACTGTGTATGAGAGAAAAAAACTGAAATCATGATTTTTCGATTAAAACAGCAACTTTGCAGTGTTTTTTCGTATGTTTTTTATAGTTGTATTTGCGATTTCTTGGTCTCATTTGATAGAATGGAAGACATATTACAGAAATAGAGATGATTTTGATTGGTTTTAGCACTGGAAATGGCTTGAAACTGAGCTCAAAGTAGCGGAAATGTTAAATTTTTGCCGATATTCAAGAGTAAACAAACGACCTCACACGTCTAATACACGTCAGCTGGTGGGTCTAATATACATTCACAAATATGGTGATGATATTTATACAATTATTACAGTATTGCATAACAGTAAATCTTCTATTTTTTGGTGTGAATAAAAATTCATTATGAGAATAAAAAATCAAAATGGAATTTATTTGTAAAGCCTCAAAACGTAACTAATGAACAGAGGAAATGTTAGTTTAGTGCCGGGAATGCCTACATTGTTTATTCTGGACCCTATTTTGAAATTGGAATATTTTGAACTTTGTGTTAAATTGGCCAAATTAACAATTTCCGATCACTTTATTTTGTAGTTGAAACAGTTGACTTGGCGATTTCTTGTGCTCAATCGATAGAATAGAAGAAATACTAGTGAAATAGCTAAGAATTTGGTTGATTGGAATAATGTAATTGGCCTAAAATGGGAGTCAAAGTCGGCAAAATCGCCGATTCATAAATATCGCTGACACATCAAAATTCGCAGAGCATAATTTCGTCAATTTTCCACCAAATTTCGTACTTTTTATTTTATTACCTTCACAAAAAGATTCTCTACGATTTCATAAGAAAAAATAAATTTTTTTTTTGAAAATTCTTGGACACTGGTGCGTGACTCCAGATTTGGGCCTTGGACCCTGAAAGGGTTAAAATACCTGTGCAGCACTGAATAATATAACAAGTGTCCTTTGCTTTATGTGACAGATGTTCCAGGCCTATGGTGCATTAAGCAATTCAATATGCAAAACATGGGGGGATAATTTTCGAGACCCTGCACATTCTATGTATATTGACTTGCATTTACCAAAAAAAAAAAAAAAAAAAATGAGCCTAATACATGTTCTCCTCACTTAGCGACATACTCGTTTACCAACAACTCGGACTTACGACAGGCTCTCTGGCCAGTATGCATACCTAAATAACATGAGAGCTGAATTCCTCTGTTCTATTTATTACAATATACAGTACACTACTGTATCAACATTTAAAAATATACTAAAAATGTTATAAATGGTGCAAAAGTGACATTAAAACAATATCAAAGATGGTTGACACAAACCCACTACCACTATAGTATGATCCTTGCTTAGCGATGAATTTGTTTACCAATGTGGTCTTAGGAACCCAACTCCGTCATTAAGTGAGGAGAGGCTGTACACAAAAAAAAAGAATTAAAAAAGGAACAATCCAAAATTCAATAAAAATTCTTATACAATTAACAGAGAACAACCAGGAAAAAATCAACATTTCCTGACAGTTTTATCAAAAAATTATGATCAAACTACACATGCCCCAAACAGCCATATATGAAAAATAAATGCACTTGATCAAAAATAATTGAGGGAAAAAAAAAAAAAAAATTCAATCATTAACCTTCTCCCTTGTGCTTTCCATCCTCTCTTTCTGGGCTAAAGTACATACCTGTGTTTTCCCTCACTCCATGCCTAGTCCTGATTTCGCAGCAGCACAACCCAACTTAGTTTGGTCATGTGCCCAATTTTTTATTTAGAGCAAGATTTTAATTGAAAACCAACTACAGTGGACCCTCATTTTTTGTAATCATCGGAATTTGTAATTTTTGCAAATTGTAATTTTTTTTTGTCACAAATTGTCATTCCTCCCAGATGCATACGAGCGGCCCCAATAGGCCCCATGCACCATTCACAGTTTGCCATTGTTTATCAGCGAGTGAGCACGATCCCAAGTGTTCATACACTTCGCAATATTCAATTCGTTTTAGTGCTTGCAACTGCTAAATAAGCCACCATGGACCCAAAAAAAGCTAGTGCCAGCCCTTTGGTAAAGAAGGTGACAAACACGACAGAATTAAAGAAAAAGATTGTAGAAAAATACGAGTGGTGGTGGTATAGTGATGGTGGTAGAGGGTGGTAGTGATTGTGATGGTGGTAGAGGGTGGTAGTGATTGTGATGGTGGTAGAGGGTGGTAGTGATTGTGATGGTGGTAGAGGGTGGTAGTGATTGTGATGGTGGTAGAGGGTGGTAGTGATTGTGATGGTGGTAGAGGGTGGTAGTGATTGTGATGGTGGTAGAGGGTGATAGTGGTTATGATGGTGGTAGTGTGTGGTAGTAATGGAGATTTGTGCAATGTGGAGTAGGATGGAAAGATCTGTGGAGGGACATTGCCCTAACAATGCTATTGCAAGCTGTGTCAGCAACATGTACAATGACAATGTCTTGTCCCATTTTAAGGAAATTATAAAGAGATGCCAGAAACAGAGTTCTCTGGCTAGATATTTAGTGCCACAGGTGTGCAGTGACTCTCCAGCTGGTCCCTGTGGCATTAAAAAACAAAGAGAAGTAACCCCGGAAAAGGACTTAGTACCTGAAGTCTTTATGGAAGGGGATTCCCCTTCCAAACAGTAATTTCTCCATCCTCTCTCCTCCTCCCAGCTTTCATACACTAAGAAGAATCTTCAATAAGGGTAAATGTCATGTTATTATTGTTTTATTCTTCATGTCTCATTGTTTTCTGTGTATGTACATCTATAATATTTTGTTTTAATACTTTTGGGTGTCTGGAATGGATTAATTGGATTTACAGTATTTCTTTTGGGGAAAATGGTTTTGCAAATCATCAAATTCGCCATCAGTCACACTCTCTGGAACAGATTAATTACGAAAAATGAGGGTCCAATGTATAAGTCTTCATGTAATATGATCATTGGACTCCCCATGCCTTAATCTGTTTTTCTCTTAGTTCTTGTCTTATTGACATTCATCAATACACAGTAACCCAGTTTAGAATGATATTTAAGGAAAATTATACACAACTGAGGATAGGGTTGAGTAAGAGCAAAACAGAGAATTTATACAGCATTTAGCAAATTCCTATCAGACAGGATCACAGCACAGAATTGCATTTGTATTTACCAAATCCACATAAAGCAAAGGGCACCTCTAATAACCTCTTACTGAAATGCTAGTTTCATAAGAGTACTATCTACTACCTCATTTTCCATATTAAAACATAGTTATTTACAAAACCTGATAATTACTGTATGATGATTCACTTTTTCTATAAATATTACTTCTGCAATTAAATTATGTAAACTTCATGTGCCTATACTATGGCTTGAAGGCTAAAAATGGAATGTATAAATATGGTAATACAGTGAACCCTTGTTAATGCAAAATCAGTGAATGCAGATTTAGCAGAATGCCTATAAAACGCCACAAAAAACTGGAAAAAGCATGGTTTACAAATAGGAAACAGTATGTTTCCTATTTGTAGTAGGTTGGTAGACAGCAACCACCCAGGGAGGTACTACCGTCCTGCCAAGTGAGTGTAAAACGAAAGCCTGTAATTGTTTTACATGATGGTAGGATTGCTGATGTCTTTTGTCTGTCTCATAAATATGCAAGATTACAGGCATGTCTTGCTACTTCTACTTACACTTAGGTCACACTACACATACATATACACATTTATTCATACACACTCATCTGAGTTTTCTTTGATTTTATCTTAATAGTTCTTGGTCTTATTAATTTTCCTTTTATATCCATGGGGAAGTGGAATAAGAATCTTTCCTCCGTAAGCCATGCGTGTTGTAAAAGTCAACTAAAATGCCGGGAACAATGGGCTAGTAACCCCTTTTCCTGTAAAGATTACTAAAAAGAATAAGAAGAAGAAAATTGTCAAAGTGGGAAGTCTGAATGTGCGTGGATGTTGTGCAGATGATAAGAAAGAGATGATTGTGGATGTTATGAATGAGAAGAAGCTGGATGTCCTGGCTTTAAGTGAAACAAAGCTGAAGGGGGTGGGAGAGTTTCAATGGAGAGGAATAAATGGGATTAGGTCAGGGGTTTCAAATAGAGTTAGAGCTAAAGAAGGAGTAGCAATAATGTTGAAGGATGAGCTATGGCAGGAAAAGAGGGACTATAAATGTATTAATTCAAGGATTATGTGGAGTAAAATAAAGATTGGATGTGAAAAGTGGGTTATAATAAGCGTGTATGCACCTGGAGAAGAGAGAAGTGTAGAGGAGAGAGAGAGATTTTGGGAAATGTTGAGTGAATGCGTGGGGAGTTTTGAATCAAGTGTGAGAGTAATGGTGGTTGGGGATTTCAATGCTAAAGTGGGTAAAAATGTTATGGAGGGAGTAGTAGGTAAATTTGGGGTGCCAGGGGTAAATGTAAATGGGGAGCCTTTAATTGAGCTATGTGTAGAAAGAAATTTGGTAATAAGTAATACATATTTTATGAAAAAGAGGATAAATAATATACAAGGTATGATGTAGCACGTAATGAAAGTAGTTTATTAGATTATGTATTGGTGGATAAAAGGTTGATGGGTAGGCTCCAGGATGTACAGTTTATAGAGGGGCAACTGATATATCGGATCATTATTTAGTTGTAGCTACAGTTAGAGTAAGAGGTAGATGGGAAAAGAGGAAGGTGGCAACAACAAGTAAGAGGGAG